TTCTCGGATAAGTTGATAATTCGCGAACCAGAAAAGCTAGAAAGCTGAAATTTTAAGGGGATGTTCCCCCTCCACATTAGTCGCAACGAGCTCAAACACAGTACTCGGTCATGCGTGGTACCTACGCACGGGTTCACCAAAGTAAGTTCATAACTCGAGAACCTGAAAAGCTAGAAGACTGCAGTTTTAAGATGTTCCCCGCCCAAATAAGTCTCAACGCGCTCAAACCCAGACATCGGGTGTGCGTCGTACCCACGTGCGGGCCCGTGAAAGTTTTTTTCCAGTACGTTGCTAACTTAGGAGCCAGGAAAACTAGAAAGCTGAAATTTTAAGGGGTGCTCCCTGCCAGTTCTGGCGGCCAGTCTTAATTTGTTTAGTTAGAAGCATTTGTCGAAAAAACCGACGCCGGTAGCGACAAAAACTGCGATGGACTATATAAAAAACGCACCTTCGCACGGGCAGCCCGTGCGCTGGCCATTTTTTCTCTCAGTCGCTAAAAATGTGACTTTTGTAGCCCGTAAAGCGATTCACAGCATCTAAACAATAGTGCGCATATGCCTCAGTATTCGGTCTCGCTGTTATTTATGTACAAATCTGCGAAGCAACACACGGTTGTATTTAATATCTCGGAAACTAGTCCCAACACATACCATCGCCCGATCCATTGTTTGCTCCAGCCCGTCCAAATCTTTAATAACAGTGGACAATACATCGCGAGCTAAGATCAGCCATTTCTGCAGTTGATTGTATTCCAGAGGTTGAGAGCCCACTTCTGTAGCTGTGAGAGCTCGGGTCTGCAAAAGCTTTTCCGGACTGACTTGTTCTCGTCCTGATACTTCAACCTTCACAGGAGCTTTCTGCATGTCGATCAACAAGCCACCAGAATACTGGAAACTGACACTTGTATGATCAAGAATTTTGAACTGAGCAAAATTTTAGTAAATTATTATCTTAGTGAAGTCCGGCCGTTTTTTCGGTAAATGCTCGCTTTGTGAAAAAATGACAAATGCAAATTTTTCGAAAAAATGCAAATTTTCAGTTCATTAAAAAGTGTAAGTATTGCTCCAGTAGTCGTTTGTCAAAAAACCCATGTTCATTTACATATGCGATTGCGGTTCAGGCCCGAGTTGCGAACGATTTTTTTGAAAAGATGCAAATTTTCAGTTCATTAAAAATTGAAAGTATTGCTCGAACCGTCGTTTTTCAAAAAATCCATGTTTATTTGCATATACAATTGCGGTTCAGGTCCGAGTTGCTAATGATTTTTGGGTTGAGAAGCTGCATGAGGCTGTGATTGGGGAGCAAGAGAGCTGAGTTCAAAATTTTTATCTCACACGTGCATGGGGAATATCCCTGCAAAGTTCCAGCTTTATACCTTGCCGGGTTCACAAAACTGTTTCCCGTCAAGACATTTTTTGGGGGGCCCGTACGCGGGGTCTAGGCGCGTGTGTGAGAACATCTTGAAACAGG